TCACCTCAGATCGACTTGCAGACACTTTCCACCTTCACGTGTAGAGGAAACACTGGGAGAGAAGACGCTGATCATTTCTTCCTCGTCTGTCCTGGTGTCTGTGTGTGTCTGATCCAAGGACACTGTCACACCTTCATACCTTCAGTCCATGACTGAAAAAACATGCGTTCAGACCAGGTGATGTAGTTCTACCATCTGGCCACTAGATGGTGCCAATTAACCATGTAATGACCTGGAGTTCAGCTCAGCACTGAACGAGGTAATGTCACTGATGTGACACAGTGTGAGTTTTAAAGTATCTTACACTGTAGGGGAGAGTGGGGTAAGATGAGCCAACTTTTACTTACGCTGTCTTGTCAGCAAGGAAAATAAGACTGAAGTACATCATTTAATGTTTGCCTTTGGTGAAACCACTGTGAAGATTTTAAATGAGGGCAGTCATGTATATTAAAGGACAGCCAGTGGCCATCTCATCACATACAATAAAACAAAAAACAAACAAATGTAAACAGTATCACACCAGAGGTCGTGCTGTTGGACTGAATGTAATTACAGCTGTGATTCGGCCGCAGGCTGAGTGATGAAGATGATGAAGATAACCAGAGATGATATTCAGTACAACAGAGCTACCTCCAGTGTGATATGACTTTAATAAAACAGTTCTACAAGTGCCGTTTATTAACAGTAACAAGCAGAAACAGGCTGTTGTTGCACGGAGCCTAGAAATCATCTGTTAATGTCACGTTCATCCGTCTGCGCTGACTCACTCATTAAATATCTGACTGAACTCCTCTCCGTGTTGTAACTGTTTCCTTCACTTATTAGTCACATTATTAATTCGCTGTCTTCATGTCACAGACAGCCTCTGTGAATTCAGCCGCCTCGTTGTTCCAGAAGGGGAATTTGTTTTTTCTTGTTCCGACACCAAACGGCTCCTCGTCTGCTGACGAGTCATCAGATGTGATGGATCTGGAGGACGTTTGGAGCTGGCAGAACAATATGTGGTTACATTTGAAGTTTGTATTTGAATTTTCAGCACAAACAGATGTTTCTGTGGAGTTTTATTCTCCGAGCTTCGTAACATGTGGACGACAAATAGTACGAGTTTGGCTCATTCAGACAGTGTGCATGTTGCTGTTCTGTCTCCAGGTTCGTGTTTAAGGACGGAGTGAGTCAAACGGATGTTTCAACAATAAACAACCAATAAAACGAGATCATCCACCTGCTGCAGTCAGTGACCCTGACCTTTGACCCCTGTAAAGGAAACAGGACTTTATCACTACATGAACCACCAGAGACAGACCCAGGTGCAGGGCGGCTGAGAGAATCAACACGCTGCGCAGAACTCCACAGTAAAATTTTACATGTTCTGAATTAAAAAACAAACAAAAAAACAGAAAATCAATATGTGGCAGTTTGTACGCCACCTGGTCGGTAACCCGCAAACAGCTGCTTTATTTTTCAGAATAAAACAAAGTAAAAAGATGTATATGTGTAATATTCTGACAGTTCCTTTTATTTTGAAAGTCAGTGACACAAGTGTAACCTTTGACTCCGTGGTCATATTGGTCACTGACGTGGAGGACTCCAGCCATGAAATTTTGCAGCCCGAGGATGATGTGGCAGCCTACATGGAGTTCAAAACACCCAAGGAGGATCCTTTGGAGGTTTCTGAATATGATTAATAAAACGTCCAGAAATTGTTAATATAGGAAAAAAAAAGATAAAGAAATGTCCAAAAATATTATTCCAAATGTCACAAAAAACATTATAAAATGTCCAGAAAAGAGACAGTGAAAAATGTTCAAAAAAAGTCAATAAAAAAAATATTCTGGACACTCTGTCTGTGGAGATGGAGCGGCAGAGCGCCGAGCGGGGGATGGTGAAAACATTCAAAAACTGCCAGTTTCAGAAACATTCTAGCATGCTCCTGTCACACCTTTGTTTCTGACACTTTAATAATATCAATATATTTTCGTACATTTTATTAGCTTTTTATTTTATTTTTTTTTTTTTTTACATTTTCATAATTTTTTTTGGACATTTTTATCAACATTTTTTAAACCTATTTCGGACATTTCAGTAACATTATTTACCACCATAAAACCTCCAAAGGATTAGGTGTATGCAGTACCAGTTGGATTTAGCGCTGCACAGGCTGCTGATGTGGATGACTCTTTAATTTAGCAGACATGTCCTAATGACAAATGTTAGTTCAGATTTGTATAAAATAAAACTGTTGTCAGGTTGTACGCCTGACCGGACCAGGAAAACCGGAAATTGACCCAACTCTACAGGGCACATTTAGATTAAACACATCAGTCAACATCAGGTAATTTTGTTTTTTAAATTGTGTGGAAACAAACACAGATAAGATGGCTTATAGTTTAATTTGCCCGCCTGTTTGTCTTCAATAAATGTTGCACTAAAGCAAAATGTGAATGCTGTCACAATGACGTAATGACCCGTCCTTCTTGAAAGTTTCCTTGTGTTGAGGCAGAACTCTTCACAACATGTCAGACCCACACAATCTGTTTAAATCACAACAATCAGACATTTCAGTATTCAGTGGTTGTTTTTAATGTGTTTAAGTAATTTAAAAATCTTTAACAAAATAAATATCCTGCAACAAAATAATCAACATGTGTACATATATGAAGCTATACAGTTTTTAAAAAGCTGGTGTCAGAACATTTTTTAAAAGCTCTTTAACAGATGGACAAAATGAAACCAAGAGTTCTGCTCCACAACTCACATTCTAACACTGGATTTGATTATTAATATTAACATGATGTTATAAATGTTTTTATATGTCAGGACAGAGCGAGCTGCTGTGTGATGTGTTTTTAATGTCGTCATATAAATATATAAATCCTGTAGATGTTTCACTGCTTCGTTTCTGGAACAAAACTCTCTGAATGTTTCACTATAAATGACATCACTGACGTGTCTGAGCGTGAGGAGGTTCAGATAACGGCCTTTGTCAAAGTTCATTGTTCTCCATTGTCGTGTGAATGAAGGTGAAACATGTCGGCTTGATCATCGTGTCTGTTTGTCACTCAGTCCGTTTCCATGGAAACAGTGAAGCGGAGCCACAGTTACAGCTGGACGAGGACGTTTAACTGGACTACTGTCCTCGTCCCAGTATACAAGCACGGGAGGGGAATCCATTTATTGATCCAAGTATGTGCGACTCCTCTACGATAGGTGGAGATATGCCCCCTTTCAGCTTGTTAGTATTGGACCTTTTTCCTGTTGACCTATTACGTCACAGACCAAACAATGGACAAACAAGTTAGCTACGGTTAGCTAGCAGCTAACTGCTACCATGGAGGACAACTTTACAGCTCTGTACATTTGGTCCATCAAAAAAGTCACGGCTCTGGATGTAGATTACACCATGTTGTTACCGGCTTCTTCTTCTCTTACACATTTAATGCTATTGGACTTCTGGGTCAAAGCCCGGGGCGGAAACTGTGAAAAATGCTCAGAGCGCCTCGGCCAGTTTGGGTCTGATTGACTGGATACATGCAGGAGTCACATGATCTGGGTGTGTTAGTCCCACTGTGACAAATTCACTTTAGGACCATTTCACTCACACTAAACTAATGTTAACAGGGATTTTAAAAGGACAGTCGGACACAATAAATGGATTTCCTCTGACATCACCTGAACGTGCTGAGTGAGTGACTCTGAGCGTGTGGATTTAAAACGACAGCCTGATGAAACGAGGCCTCACAGAGTGTGACCACAGGAGGAGGCGTTTTAAATCCTTAAACATCCTCGTCTTCATCCTGCTGAGGAGAAACTGAGTCTCTCTCAGGTCACTGTGACCTCTGACCTCTGTGAAGACCACCTGAATCTGTGGATGATGATCAAACGTCATGTTAATGTCAGCTGATGATACTCTGTTCAGAGAACAGCAGGGCAGGTTTGTAATGAGGACGTTCACTGAGGAGACTTTTTCATTTTATTCACGTTGTTTGTGGTTCTCCCCGAAAATTAAATTAAATACTTGTCTGTTTTTGAACTGGAGGTATTTAGGTTTAACTTAAAAGGGAGAAAAGGCCACATGATTTTTTTGGGTGACTGAACTGATTTGGATTTGTTCTGTTTGAGTTCTGTTATAATCTTAATTAATAAAATAAAATGGGAACTGTGAAGAGAAGCTGTGATGTCGCCTGGTGTTCTGCCTCCACTGAGCTGGTCACACTGGGCAGCTGAGTCAATTCGTATTCTTGTGTAAATAAAATAAATTCTTTTAGATTCTCTACAACACATTTTCTTCACAAACTTTAAAACTGAGATATATTAAAGCTAGAGACAATTCCTATCACATTATACTCGTCACAATAATAGCTTATTCTTTGTCAGAGAGTCAAATCTGACAACGACAGAGTTGATGAGCCACTGTGTGAATATTTATAATATACACATAAAGAAATCTGAGATATTGAGAATGAAGTTTTGCTTTGTGAAATTTTGTATGAAAATTAAAACTATTTTATAACTTTTTCTTGTAAGACTG